AATTGGTGACGTTGGCAATCAAATGAGTTACAGGATGTTTTCATTAATTGATCTTGAATTTACCATTTTCATGTTCAGATTTTAGTAGTGAATACCATGTTCTGTCTATATCAACTGAACAAGAAGCAATGATATTGTCTCCGTTCAGAAGAATGCAAGCAGATTCCTTGATTTTTCTCTTCTGGTTGTTATCTTCTTTTCCAATAATTTTAATATTATTCCACTCTGCCATATGTTGTCCGTCTTCAGTAAGGATATGTTCAGCTAGTTTCGATTTATCGATGTTTCTTTTCTTTATATTGTACTTATGTTCCTTTGTCCTTACTGAAAGAGGTCTCTTGGTTTCACCTGTATAAAACTTTCCACAAACACAAGGTATACTGTAAATACAATTTTTTGATGATTGTTCTTCATTTTTCGGCTTTGTTTGAGTTAGAATTGATCTCATTGTATTTTCAGTTTTGAACACAGTTTTCACTTGAAATTTATCACCAACACGTTTTATTTTTTCAGATATGCCGGGAATGTATGGTATTATATTTGTCGTTATTGATGGTTGATTTTGTTGTGGTTGACCCTGTTTGTTTTCAATTCGATGAATCGTACTATCTACAAAATTCTTTGGATAAGAATTGAGTTGGAGAACATTTTTAATGTGGTGGACTTCGTTATTGAAAATTTGTTGGTCAGATGATATTGATTTGGCTCTATCATGGAGTGATTTGATTATTCCTTTCTTAATACTTTTCTGATGATTTGATTGAAAGTTCAAGTATCTGTTAGTATGGGTCTTTTTACGATAAACACTCGTTACAAAGTTGTTATTTGATTTTTCAATAAGAACATCTAGAAACGGTAATTGATTATTTGATTCAATTTCCAAAGTGAACTTTATTGTAGGTTCGGCATTGTTCACATAATCCAGAAAATTATCTAGCTCCATAACATTGTAAGGCCAAATTATGAAAATATCATCTACGTATCGCCACCATGTTTTAGGTTGTTTTTGGTAATTTTTGATGATGTTGTCTTCAAAATTCTCCATAAATATATTGCTCAAAATTGGAGATAATGGCGATCCCATGGCCATTCCAAAGTTTCGTTGATAAAACTCATCACCCAATTGAAAATATTTTTTTTTTAGACACAATTCCAAAAATTCCATTATTCCTTCGATACTTAAATTAGTTCTTTCAGTGAGACTTTCATCGTCTTCTAATTTATGTTTCACTATTTGTAAAGTTTTATCTATTGGAACATTTGTGAATAAACTTACTACATCAAAACTAACAAGAGTATCATTTTTATCAAGAGTGATGTCATTAAGTTTTTCTAAGAAATGAGGAGTATTTCTGATGTAACTCTCACTTTTTCCTGAAATAGGATTGATGATATTCAAGAGAAATCTTGCTAAATTTTGACATGGAGATCCAATTGAACTCACGATTGGTCTCAATGGAACATTTGGTTTGTGTATTTTTGGAAGTCCGTAAAAATGAGGAGGTTTGCTGTGATATGTGGAGATATTCTTTCTTTCCGCGAGTGTCAATTGATTTTCGTGTTTCTTGATAGTGTTACGTATCTTTCTTTCGATATTTGCTGTAGGATCTTTATTCAATTTCGTGTAATTACCATCATTTATAAGTTGTTCAATTTTAGTATTATATTCAATTTTGTCCATGATGACTGTAGCATTTCCTTTATCAGCTGGAAGTATTTTGATTGTGTTATCGTGTTTTAGGTTATTAATTGACTGTTTTTCTATTCTAGTTATGTTTTGTGTGATTTTGTGTTCTTTTTCAATTATAATTTTATTTCTAATTCTATACTCATTAGAAAATTCATCAGGAAGTCTTTGCGCAGTTTGTTCGATTGCTGTAATAAATTCTAATCTTGGAAAATTATTTGGAGTTATTGAAAAATTCATTCCTTTTGATAATATTAATTTCTCAGTATCTGTTAATACTCTCGATGATAGATTCACAACAGTTTTGTTCAAGAAATTCTGTTGACGACTTCTGTATTGCAATTCTTTTCGTTGTTTTTCATTAATGAGATTATTGAATTTTCGTATGTGAATCTGTTTGTTCTTAGCATTCTCCTTTGTATAAGAATTATGAACACAAATGAAAATATGTGTTGAGTCATCCTCGTGTAAATCATTATATAAATTATGTTCTAATTGTGATATGATGTTCTTTATTCTTACCTTATTGTATTTGTGGAAACTTATTCTCTCTCTTACCAATGCCTTACTTGCTTTCAGAACTATCCATTCACATCGTCTACTATAAAATGGTGCTTTTAAATGTAACCCTTTTGGTATCACTTCATTATTACGACATTTGCAAAGAAAGGTTAAACTATTTTCCGTGTGAGACAGTTTTATATATAAATCTTCAAGTTTTCTGAACTGATGATTGATGTGAGGCCCATACCTATTTGTTAAATACTGTCTGTAGGTTAATCGAGGAGGTGGTATATTCATTATTCCAAATTTTTTGGGATTTTCTCTCCTCGTTTCTATAAAATAAAAATATGAATATTATTTCAATATACGTGTAGTAAGGACAAATCAGATGATTTGCCCCAAAATGTCACTGCGTTTAAAGAATTTTCCTATCAGAGAGCCTAAAAGAAAAATTCACTAGCTTGTCAGTGACAATTTGTATTGAAAAAATTTTTGGAGAAGGGAAATAAAGGTATATAGAAAAAATATCAAATTTTCACTTATCTTTGGACGTTTCGGGACCGGTTCTGCTCCCGTTTTCAACATAAGAAGAGATTATTTCAATAGCGAAGTCGTATAATGTCTTGAAGCTTTTCAGTTTTCAATGACAATTGGTGACGTTGGCAATCAAATGAGTTACAGGATGTTTTCATTAATTGATCTTGAATTTACCATTTTCATGTTCAGATTTTAGTAGTGAATACCATGTTCTGTCTATATCAACTGAACAAGAAGCAATGTTATTGTCTCCGTTCAGAAGAATGATAGGAAAATTCTTTAAACGCAGTGACATTTTGGGGCAAATCATCTGATTTGTCCTTACTAAACGTATATTGAAATAATATTCATATTTTTATTTTATAGAAACGAGGAGAGAAAATCCCAAAAAATTTGGAATAATGAATATACCACCTATTCGATTAACCTACAGACAGTATTTAGATAAATCAGTTGAGCAAGTTAATATTATTAGCAAATTAGACGCATATAAAATCTCAGAGATATTTAAGGATAGTGATAGAGTAATGAATAAGGATAGTGGATAATGGACCTATTCCATATAACCATGACGAACATTTACTTGACGGATAGTATTTTTCACGTTTGGGTGAACATATACCTAGTATATAAACAGCACACTCGAATAGGATATTCAGTTTCGATATTCTCCTGAAGATGCTATCATAGTAAGCGAAACACGTGTCGAGGCGTTTAAAAAATCGGTTTGGTTAGTGGTAACACAGTGTAGTGTACAAAAATATTTGTATAGTTATCCTGAATGTATCTTCCTTCAATCTTCATTCAGAAAACGTATCCTTTCCGATGTCCCTATATCCTTCACAATGTCCCCAAATTCCCACGAGAGCAATTGTCTTTCGCCATACAGCGTTGTCATTCAAAGTGACCGTTAGCAGTCATCCCTTTTGTCTCAATAATAATTCGAAAAGTAAATATAATAACGCAATACGTCCACCTGAATACGAAAAAAACCCGAATGGGACGAGAATAACGTCTAGTTCCCATGTCGCCTGGACAATGTAGAATCGCAAAAACTGGTCGTCTTTTGTTTTCCAGTTGCTCACTTGTTCAATACAAGTAGCCGGAACTGTATAGAGTGTTAAGGATGGACAGTTCGAATGAAAGGGGAGCGGAAAACTTGTTTTGGCTCGTGAAGGATTATGAAATTGCGATACTTCTCAGGGGAATGAATGAACCGACTGGTGTAAGAATCACATTGTAGAATATATAGTGCTAGCGGTACACCGAAAATATCAGAAAAAAACCGCATTTCGTATAGAAAGCAAAATTTTTTGCACACTTGTTCTTGATACTCAAATGAACGATTTGCCCCGCAGCACCCATTTTTTTGGGTGTGTGGGTTCGATTTTCAGGGGGTAGGGGGGGTTCATTCCACGATGATTTGAAAAAAATCAAAATGAAGCTATAAAGATGATCCAGATGTCGATTCCATATTGAATTGTCTTGAAGAATATAATGGTGGCACCCTTTCAGCTCTCGGTTCACTGGAAGTGTCTCAAAAAGCTGCCATTTTGGAAAATGGCGCCTGGTATGGTACCATTGAGAAGCTTGCATAATTCGAGCCGAGTGAGGTATGGATTTACATATTTCAGGGGTCTCTGTGTAAGAATTTACCAAAAAATTATCCCAAGGTCACTCCCAAGATTTTCATGAAATGCGGTTTGAAAGGTGTGCGAGTATTTTCAAAATCACATTATGAATCTATATAGGCGCTATTGAAGTGGAGTTTTCTACTAAAATAGTCCCACTTGTGTTTATAATGCATTATCTACCTAAATTGTTTAAAAGCCTCCATTTTGTAATATGACTGCCAGAAAAAAAGTATAATGAAACATATTAAGATAAATTATCCATGAAAAAATTGACATATAAGAAAAGAATAATCAAAAACATTGTTGACGTGCAAATATATATGAAATTTATCACGTGGTATGAAAAAAAATGAGCAAAATATTAGTTGAATAATCACAATAACTTCGGATACTACTATGTAGAAAATGAATAACATAAAACAATCACAAAGTCATTGCATTTTATGGACAAGTAATAGTTTGGTCAATACATGGATCGATTGTAGGAAAATTATACTGCTAATTTGAATAAGCGCGCCACAGACGAGCTGGAATCTAGTACCTAACCTCTGGCTCACATCCCCTCTTGTTTTCCCCTATCGTCTCTCTCGCTTGTGTCTGCAATTTCCTGGAAATATGTCTCGAATAGTCTGCTGCAGTCAACAGCGTCTCATTTCTTGCCAACGAGATCTTGAAGGAACTCAAGGATGTGGAAGTCGTAACTAATGTCGATGATGTTATACGCTCATCTGAGGGTACACAGTTGTATCTGCAGGGTGTTTCGTGCGCTGCGATGGAAGAAGCAGATGGAAGGTTGATGCTTCATGTGAATGATATGGTGGAGAATGGTATCCGTTGTATAGTTATACGAAGCTCGGATACAGACGTTTTGGTACTGGCAGTTTCTCATTACCATGCCCTCCACAGAAAGGGCTTGCGAGAATTGTGGTTACACTTTGGAGCAGGCCTCAAACGAAGGTTCATTAGTGTGCATGGTATCGCTGGTGTTCTTGGGGAGGACACTTCTATCGCACTCAGAGGGTTCCACGCCTTCACTGGATGTGACACGGTATCCTTTTTCGGTTCGAGAGGAAAACAGTCAGCATGGAATGCTTTCTTGAATTGCTCGAAGTAAGTATATTTCCTGGGTGATCTATTGATATGTATTCATCTATTATATAAGAAACGCTCCATTCCATTCACAGACGCGAAGACATTATATTAGCATTTTACTTGGTTCTTTGGGATTTTCTCTCCTCGTTTCTATAAAATAAAAGTATTCGTATTATTTCAATATATTTGTAGAGGGACAAATCAGATGATTTGCCCCAAAATGTCACTGCGTTTAACAAATTTTTCTATCAGGGAGTCTAAAAGAAAAATCCAGTAGCTTGTCTGTGACAATTTGTTTGAAAAAATTTTTGAAGGAAAGAAATATAGATATATTGAAAAAATATCGAATTTTTACTTATCTTTGGACGTTTCGGGACCGATTCTGCTCCCGTTCTCAACATGTAAATGCAAATTATTTTTGTTTGAAAGTTGTGCTGCGTATTATATTAGCATTCAAGAAGCTCTTACATCCAATGCTAGAAGATACCATAGACGATGATCTCATCAAGACGTTGGAGAGATTCACGGTATACATGTACGGGATCCGTGACGAGACCTGCTCCGGTGTGAATGAGGCTCGGAAGCACATGTTTGCCACAGAAAACAAACATATTGGTGCAATTCCGCCTTCCCTGGAAGCTTTCGTTCAACATATGAAGAGAGCTGCCTTCCAGAGAGGACATATCTGGGGAAGGGCCCTTGAAAATTCACTACCACCATCCCCTGAAGGGTGGGGATGGAAAAAAGAAGGAGATACCTGGGTTCCGCTTTGGAGTGAGCTTCCCGAGATCTGGTCGGCATGCAGGGCTCTAGATAAATGTGGCTGCAAGTCTGGATGCGACACAAAACGTTGTTCCTGCCGTAGGAACATATTACCGTGCTACCTGGGATGCACAAGTTGCAAAGGGGAATGTTCTAATAAAAAGTAAGTCGCTTCGAATTATCCAGCGTGAAAGATTATTTCATATCACTGCTTGATGTTGGACCCAAACGCAACTCGAACCCCACTCACACCAAAATGAAGAGGAGGAGGTCGATGGAGAAGTAAATTAGTTGAAACATTGATCAAGGTTTGTATGTTCATCAAAAATAGTTATACCTAAACTAAAATGTTCTTTTTTCTAGATATGACCTGAACATCCACCCTGGATATCAATGTTTTCGCATGTAGGTACTAGAATTTTTGTATTGAAACAATAAAGCCCAAAATTAACAGCATCGAAAAGTGCTAATCAGTTATGTTTAATTTATCATAGCCGCTCAGGATTTTTTCACATTCATAAAGTCACTTAGCGAATTTTCAATATTATTGGTGGCCGTGTTGGCGGCCATTTTATAAAATGGCGGATTTTTAATTACATTATGCTCGTCATAGAGCGATGCTTCATCTATGTCGAATAGGAAATCTCCATAAGAGAACGTCTCACTTTCATGAAGAATTTGGCTTTATTCTAATTTTCAGCATATTCGCATACCTTTTTTCTGAATTTTCTTCGAAATTTTTATACTAAAATACTCTCCACATAATTTTGTTGGTTCAATCATCTTCAGGCATGCTTGATATATGAAAAACCATACCTCACACGCCACGAATCATGCAATCATGTTAATATGGCACGATATCGGACGCCATTTTCCAAAATGGCGGTTTTTGAGGCTTTTCCGATGATCATAGAGCTCAAAGAATCTCACTATTGAATTTATCAAGACAATATCATTTGAAATCGACATCTGGATCATCTCTGTAGCTTTATTCCGATTTCTGAAAAATATATCGTCGAATTAACCCCCCTCTCCCCAAAATTCGGACCCCCAAGCCCAAAAAAGTAGGTGCTGCGGGCCAAATCGTTTATTTAGGTCTATTGAGCATGTGTGCAAATTTGCTTGCTTTCTATACGAAATGCGGTTTTTTTCTGCGTACCTCTAGCACTATTTTAGTCACCAACTTAAATCCATAAGAGCTATTCAAATACTACTCTGATTCAGCTCTAACAAACGTATAGGTGTATCCTCTTCTACTGATTCCACAGCAAAGAGGGTGCGGTGTATTCACAAATTACAAAACAAAACAAGAAGCTAAAACCCCATATATGATGTGAGGTAATTCGGTCATAGTTTTCATAATCAGGAGGCACAGCGATGGAAAATGACAGAAAATGCATTTTTTTATATCGAAGAAAATCGAAGAGGAATCTACTATTCTTTTCTATCTGCATGAAATTAGAAGTAGATTGAAACGAAAATGTACGAAAGCAATTAATCTGGCCAGGATACCAACAAAAAATGTCATCAATAAATAATCTCAACATGCCCAGTAAACATTGAAACCTAACTCAAACATTGATACTTTGTGATGATATTCAGAGAAATGCTTATTGTCACAGATTACATAAAATCAATGTTACTTCATAACGTTTATTAAATGTTACCCAAAACAACTGGAGAATTTTTTTTATTAAAATTTTGATTATTTTTCAGAAGTTTTTAAGTTATGTCTATTTTTTTCTGTAATCATCAAGAATTATCTTGAAAAAAGATAGAACCCTGCGTTTCATCCCATATCTCAAACGAGTACGAAGATATTCAGGTTTTTTTTTTACCGCTTGTGGAGCGCACGAAAGGGAATCCCTATAATGTTCAAATAACATCGTGCGTTCCTAGGGAGGATAGGGACAGGAGGTAGGTATTGGAATTTTTTTTTCAACTTCTGGAGATTATATGTTGTTGGGAATACTTCCACAGGCAATGAATTCAAGAGTCTATCCGTTCTATGGATGAATAAAGTGCTGTTCGACATCTTTCGAGGTTGACAACGAAAGGATGTGCTGACTGGGCTTGTCAAGTTCGTCTGATCGATATTGCTACTGAAGGGATGATGGCAGAGATTTCCAAAGAATATTTTCCGTGGAAGTATCGATAGAGAAGTGAGCGACCTTTCTACGGTGTTCCAATGATGTCAAAGAGTGGGTGAGTGTGGCGTCACCCACCAGGCGAATGGTTCTTCTCTGAATGGAATCTAAGAGCATCAGCGTATGTTTTGGTGCTGAACCCCATATGTAGAAACAGTATTCTAGAACAGGCCATCTTTGCGCTTTGTAGATCATGAGAAGCTGTTGAGGTGTAAAGTAGCTTTTCGCACGAAACAAGAATCCGAGTTTTTGTGAAGCAGCTTTTGCGATGGATCTGACATGATTATCCCATCCCAGGATGTGATTTCCGCAAGATCTTCATTGACAGCATTGACCTGCCTGCGCCGTGAGTTCTTAGTTTCCTGGATAGAAATGGGAATTCTGGAAGAGAACGGAGGGTACTATCATCTGCAAAGCTGTGGATGGGGCAAGTTGTTACTCCCAAGAGATCATTGATATTGTCACAAATAGGGTTATTTTTCATTCATTCATTCAAATTCATACAAGGTTCGAAGTCATTGAACGGTCGCGTCTTTGTTTATTAATTCCAAAATTTTCAAATCGTGAACGAACTCTTTTTTCCATAGTTGAACATAAACACAGGCGTGACATTGACTTCAACGAACCTGGACTATCGACCTGATTTCCTTACTGTCACGTTTCCGAAAATAAAGACAACTATTTAAAAGACGTAAGGAAGCGGGTTCGACAGTGCGACTACCGGTTCGACTGCGAGTTGGACTGCCAGTTCGAGTTCTAGTCCTGTTTTTGAGTACAAGTCCGAAAAGTTTGAGTTCTATCAATTGTAAGTTTGTAAAGTTGCCACTGTGCCCGAACCTTCGGAGTTCGGGCAGAACACAAGATGCCCTTCCTCAGGCCCCAAGAAATATCAGTTAATTTGTAAATATAGGGTAAGTTAAGTTTTTATTAATTGTTATTTATTGCCAAGAATAAATGTGTGTATATGTGTTGTTTGAAAACCCTTTTGAGTTTATTTATTATTATCACTTTTGAAGTTCATTCTCTAATGGATCTAGAACACAACTTAGGCAACCCCCGCCTACAGTTTGTGACATGGTGGAGGCGCCAATGGCTCGTTCCCGAGGTTGGTTCTTCATAACCAACTTCACATTTCAAAATCTCATGTTCTTTTGTTATTTCAATTAGATTATTTTCATTTCATTGAAGTCAAGAAATATTTCAGTAAAACAGTTTTTATTATTTCAAGTATTGAATATAAAAATGTATTTTTATATGGGGCATCTGGCCAGGATTTGCGAACGGTCCAGCATGCTAAAACTGGACTGCCTCGGTTTGATTTTCAAATGGGGCGTTCCTGGTAGTGCACACAGATAGGCATGCTAAAACCATCTGTACCCATACAAAAACTAAATGAATAATATGATTTTGTTTTTAGTTATTCATGGCTTATTGAGAAACATAGAGAAAGTATTAGTTGAGAGAGATGTGCTATATTTCGAGAATTTAAATGTCATAAGGTGATTTACATGTTGTTTAGAGGAGTAATTTTGATCTTGTGCGTGGAAAAAAGAGATTATTGATGAGTGCTGAGAATTTTCGATGATTATAGAAGGTAATTGAGAATTTTCATTGATTATTGAGTTTTTGTTATGTTGATCGAGATATGTGAAAGTGACCATATGAAGAAATATGAGGTACACAATTCACAAGTGTAGCATCCAGTGTCGCGGAATAGACAACTGGAATTTTGAGGGGATCCTGGAATATTTGTTGCTGATGATACTTGAGATAAAGGATGTCCCTAAATAGTTTTTCCACGATTTTTTCATTACCCAATGCAGAATGTAATCACTTATGACGGAATTCATTAACGGTAGGGTATAGGTAATCTATTTTTTTTCGGAATTTTCAACGCAGGCCAAGCTTTATGTTTCAAAATTTTCGCAAAATATTAGTATTTACGATCCTTGGAGAATGAACAAGAATTATATTGTTTTATGAGGAAGCACACATTTTTTCTTACTTAATGTTATATATAATCATTTACTTTTAGGGTTTTCAAATGTTCGTTTGGAAAATAATTAAGTTTTCAATCAATCAATCAATGGCAATTTCTGAGATAATCATTACT